TAAATTATCTGTCAATTTATTTTCCACTTTCTGCTTATTGTAGTAATTACTTCAATCATTTTTGCTTCAGCCTTATCCTTTTTTTCTTTCTACTAAATAAGCTACCTTCACTCCCACTCAGCTGCAGTAATTTTACCCTGGAAATAGAGAGAATGTTCTTTCCAGCTCATCTTTTCTAAGGGGTCACTACTTTAAAATTGTAGTAATGCTGCTAACAACAAAAGTATCCTGTTCCTTCCCTCCATTTCCCCCTCACCCTTCATTTATTCATGTGTCTTCTGATCTCTGGGAAATGCAGTCTAGCTCTCCTTCTTCCTCATTATGTAGGTCTCAATTCCCTCCTGTCCACGAGCTCATCCATAATTTGACCCCCATTTATCTTTTCAACCATTTCTTCCATGCTTGTCTTAAGAGGACACCCCTAAACCACACTGCTTTGCACTGATACCCAGGAATGCCTTGCTCACTCTGTCCCCAAAGCTGGGCATGCCCCACCCACGGCACTGTCCTTTAGGTGTCCTTGGACAGAGCTATGAATCCTTGGCCTCCAGTTTTCAGTTCCCTCCCACTCACCTCTGTCTTGGTCCTTTAAGTCTCCTCTTGCACTTCCTCCTGCTCTGACTCCTGAACAACACTCTCCTACCTCCCTTCCCCTCCACAACATCAGCACTGGACTCCAGATTTCACTCCTCCTTATCTTAACCTTTTCTTGCTTTGTTTTATCCTCCCCTGGAGGGAGAATTGTTGTTGGACTGTTTCTTTCATTTCCCTTCTCTGGGAGCATCTTTCAAGCCCATAACAACTGAACAAATCTTCCATGTGAAGTATCTGGAGTACATTTTAAATTCTATATCCTTGCTCTCAGGGCCAATGAGTCAGACTTCAGTTGCTGAATGGGAGAAATGTTTCCTTCTCTATTCTAAAGCAGCCTTTCTGACTAATTAAAGAACTATGTCAAAACAGCTCCCCATAAGAACACATATGTCAACCAAAGAATTAAATATTTGAAAATGAGAAGAACCACTTGGTCCATTTCTCAATAAAGATTAAGAACAAAGGGAAAAGAAAAAAAGGGAAATGGAATAAATCAGTCAGAATCCAATCCAGAATAAATATAAAAATCTCTAGTTAAGATGTCAGGAGGAATGTTTAAACCATGACTCTGGTGAGATCAAGGACATTTGATATAAATAGACTCTTTAAGCCACATTTCTAACACTTGCCATTTGCTACCAGCCAAGTCCATCAAGGAAAAATGGGACATAAAAAGTCTGTGGAACAATAGAGATGATGAGAAAAGGCGGCTTTGTCACGGTACAAACAACCCAGATACACAGTACTTCAAAAACGTTGGGTAGGGCTAAGTGGGAGAGCCCCCAATGGCGCATGCGGCCTTTGGTCAATGTACAGCACCTCGCGTGGGAAAGGTAGAAAAAGTGCTAGGCACCAGCATATACACGACAAGGCTGGGGCTCTGTGCAGCTCACAGACCACAAGGCTCATACGACTTGAGACCAGACTGCGCATGTCTTCTATCTGCAGCCTCTCAAAGACTGCAGGACAAAGAGTGCCAACTTTGCCCCGCCCAAACCTACAACGACAAAAGCAGTTAGAGAAACAGAACACCCAGAAGGACTCACTTTCTCTTCAGTCCATGTGATCCCTTTGGAACCAAGCTCCTGGGTAGGCATGTTGATGCTCACCCCTAAACAAGCTTTTGGGAGGCTGAGGCAGGAAGATTATGAGTTTAGGGACAGCCCAGACTATAGAGTGAGACCCTGTTTCAATAGTAGTAATAATAGTAGTAGTCGTAGTAGTAGTAGTAGACGAGAAAATAAAAGAGGAGGAGGAGGAACCATGTTCCTATGGGCCTGAGGCATCTGAACTTGGCTGTCTGCCTTCAGGAATCAAATGAAGATGCATGTTTACAGAGAAAGCACAGCTGCTCCGCCAGGCTGGACTTATGCTTTGGGTCCTCGGATGCTGCACTTTCTTAGTCTACTATCTCTAGAGTCTCTAAGGATTGACAGATTAAACTGCAAAGATGGATAAATGGTTTGGACCCTAGGCCTCCTGGAGAAGACAGCATCCCTTCTTCCTTATGACCTGTCACAGCAGGAGAACAGCACCATGATCACAATATTTCAGTCTTTTGGCTATAATTAGAAATGCTTAGATTCTTCACTATTGATTCATCTGACAAGCATTTGTTGATGCTCCTCTACGGTTGACATTGTGAGTAACAAAATTAGCAAGATGAGTGGGGTATGCATGTGTTCGAATGCCATGTAAGGACCATGCACAGACCCCGAAACAATGCTTCTCACTTTGTAAGTCATCAACGTTAAGATCCTTCACGACTCTTGATGTTGTGATGGGATGACGTGGTAGTGACAAGGACAGTCACAGGTTAGCTGAGTCTCCGGCAGCAGCTGGTCTGGCAGAAACTGAATCATATAGGGGAATAAAAGGAACCCGGGGTACAGTGGATTTGCATTTCAAGAAGCAAAACAGGTCCAGACAGAAATCTAAACCAGTGGATAAAAGGGGCAACATAAATTTCTATTATGGGAATTACCAACTCCGTCCTTTGCTTTTCCAAATTAAAACAAAACAAAACAAAACAAAAAAGCAAACTAAAGATACAGAAAGAAAATTCAAAGTTAAGCAGAGAAATTGATTTTGACTAACAGACACAAAAGACACTAACTTCTGTCACAGACAAGACAAATGAACTATTTCTGCAATAACAACTTAAAAAAAAAAGGAAAGAAAGAAAAGAAAAGGCCCTTGGGCAAGAAGTTTTACAATCATCCTGTTTCTAGGTCGGATTCTCTGGAAGGAGACAAAGAAAAACCTGGACCTGGAACAAGGAAGACGTTAGGAATACTTCTCCACACCACCAGAGGCCATTAGCACACAAACAGCCAGGCTAACAGGATATGTGAAGGACTGGGCTGGGGGAATAAATGAAAAATTATGACTCATGAGCGAAGAATGACACATTTTTAGAATGCCCCTGAGTTTAAGTTAGGTAAAAACAAAAATTTCAAAGTACAAGATTGATAAAGGAAAGAAGCGTTTTTCATTTTTCTCTACAAGAAAACATTTCAATATGCTTTATAAAAAATAAATTCATATTTTAATGTGTTTAAACAAATACTAAATGAATTCTGGAATAAAAAGAACTAAACAAAACCCCAATCCTATACAAGACAGAATGAGAGACAGGGAAAACATTTCCACATAAAATAAATGACCTCTTTGGTTTCCTTTATAAGCCACAAATGAAGGCCATCTTAAAATTCTATAAATAGAACCAGAATGCTACTTGTGTATGTGTGTTTTAAGGACTAAGATCACCATGCAGCAGGGCATGCAGGCAGCACACTAATGTCATTAAAATATAATTAGACTTGCAGGAACAATCATTGAGCTGTGCTGTAAGGGGAGCTGTTGGCACGCGCAGAGAACAGCGCCTGTGTGAGCTCATCCGCCAGCCTCAGCAAGACCCACTTCCAACTAGAGGCAGCCATGTTTCAACCCCTCACATGCCTGATGCTGACAAGCCAAACGACTTGTTTTGTCTCTGGGAACTCGTCTCTGGTGATTAACTGCTTACAGTGAATACTGATTACATGAGAAAACAGGACTGACGAACCAGAACCACCTCCTGGGTCCTCTACCTGTAGCCCGGACTTGCCTTTGAATCTAGAAGGTGCTAGGTAGAGCAACCACTGCAAACTAGAGCCAGGCAAGGCATTCCCCACACCTCCACCCCACATAACAAATACACCCGCCACCTTTTGTTACAGAGCACAGCGTACAGACAAGGAGTCCTCTTTAACCTCTGGACTCCAAATATAATCACAAGAAGGGGAGTGTTTTAAAGGTCAGTAATAATCATACAGGCGAATCTGCTGCAAGGGTTTGAGAGTTAGGAAACCATCAGTGTCCTCAGTCCTCAAGTCCCAGGTTGAAAATTTACCCCAAATTGTTAGTTCTCAGGAACTGCACCTCAGATTAAAATCTCCTCACCAGGGAGTCTGTAGGAATTTGCTCTTGTTTTAAATCCTAAGTGCTGGTTAAACCGCCAACACTGCAGAACTAGAGACCATTAAACAATATAAGGCAGCGAGTGATTAAACCCACGAAACCCACATCGAAAGCAGCTTAAGCTACTTTTTAATTAAAAATAAAATATCACTGGCTAACTTCAGACATCTTAGCTATCCAGAAGTCTCCTCCAAATACAAAGCATGGCTGAGAAAGCCATGTACAAAAGGAGGCGTGGGTAGGAGGTGGGCTGGGCAGGAGCTCTGAATAGTCTGGAGGCCAGGACAAGGCCTGCTGAGGCTGACCCCGTTCGGCCAGTGCATACTCAGAAGTCCCCTGAGCTGCAAGGCGAGGACACCACGTGGCTGCCACTAAATAAGCTCTGTTAGCAGGGGCCCCAAGGAGACGGGGTGTTCGCCTTCTTGGCAGGAGAATGAGTTAAGTAACAGCACTGCGTGACACTAAGGCATTTGAGATGTACAGACGGCTAAAGGAAGTGCTCAGTACACCTTCGGCTAACTAATAAACATCTCTCGCGGCAGTCAGGAGCTCTTGGTGAAGGAAGCCTAAGGAGCTTTGGAAACAACGGCAACGCTTGAAATAGAACGAAATTTTTACTGCAAAGTTACAAGTAAATAAACATCACAGCTTTAAGTTGTTGCTGCTTGTTTAAAGTCAAGAAGGGCCAGGGGCCTTAGTCAACTTCAGGCAAGAGGCCAAAAACCATGAAGATCAGATTGAAGGTGGGGATGATGTCATTCAATAGGAAGTCTTGATTTTCTTTCTGAAGTATGAGAAAGTTTTCTGGTAAAAGCTTACCTCACACACAGCTTTTTTTTATTTTTAACTCTATTTTTTTCCTTTCAAAAATGATTTTCCAAGTATGTTTCCTGCCTTATATGTAAATGTTATGAACTCCCTTTCAGCTTCAGACATGGTCTTACCTAAAAAGCTTGCCCTAAAGTAAAGAACGGGCACTTGGTAGCTGCAGGAATATAAGACATGATACTCGTATTTAATCGCTTCGGACGCTGCTGCGGACTCCGTCACTTCAGAATCATCCACCGGGAGCTCTAAATTCTCCTGAAAGAAAAGAAAGCGGAGACAAAGTCAAACTGTGTTTGTTGATTTAAAAATAAACAAGGGCAAACGGGGAGGGGAAAATTCTCTTCTTGCACAGTAACAGTTAAGTAAATACCAGGCTCTGAGGTAAGAAAACGGGAGTTACCCACACTAACACTTAACATCTGAGTCCTAGGTAAACAGTAAAACCAGAAAACATCAGCACAAAGTGAATCCAGATTGTTCTGGGGAAACAGGGCAACTCCGGGCAGAGAAACGAGGTGGGGCGTGGGGAGCTGGGGTGGGGGCAGGGGCAGCACAAAAAAATTACTGCAGCAGTGATTCCGAAGTTTTCACCGTGTGATTTCAGCAACACGATGCTGGCTGCAGCAGCTACTTTATTCTTTACCTGGGAGAGCTAAAGCCACCCTGACAACTGAACCGCGGCAGGAAACGCCCCTGCAGGTTCTGTTGTACGTGCCCAAAGATGACTCACTGTGTGCTCAACAATCCCCAGCTCCATTCTGAATAATAAAGTTATTTTGCAAGAGTCTGAGTTGGTTAGGTGCATTTCCAACCCCGAATGACTCTGCTTTCTTCACTATTGTGTGTACCTTTGCTAGCGCTCGCTATACATCTTGATTTAGGGCCCAGCCGCTGGTACACAGGGACAGGAAGTTACACCAGGCTTTGTAAGCAGATGTGTGAGAGTTCTTCCATCCACTTCTCAGCGAATTGAGCTCCCCTGGCTGCTATCTCTGCTTTTGTTGTTGTTGTTGTTTGTTCGTTTTTTTTTGTTTTGTTTTGTTTTGTTTTTTATCATGCACGGACATTTCTTAAGGACGTATCTTAACTTGTAGAAGCAGTTGACTGGACATGTTGAATCAGGGTTTCTGGGTGCATCCATGCACACTTATTTATTTGGGCTGAAGATTTCCTCCTTTGCAATTAAATTAGTAGAAAGAATGGAGCAAGTGGGTTTGGCTCATTTCAAGTTCTCATTAAGACAGGAACAGCAACAACGAACAACCAGAAAGAACCAAAGAGGAGATTGCAAACTTTATCAATATGGAATAAGGTTGCCTGTGGAGATAAAGGAAGTGCGCTCTCCAGATCTCTATCTCCTTTCCTAATTTCCCACTCGCAGTCAGTTCTCGGGGAGACACTAGTGGGTAGACCACGATGGGAGTGTTTACAAAACAGCTGCCACCAAACACCTGTAAACACCGCCAATAAACACAATGAATTAAATAACCAGAGACGTCACTCAACTAAATAGGCCAGACACAATTAATACAATAACAAGAAAGAGGGTGGTTTTTTTTCCTGTTTATTTAATTTTAGCCATGAGCGTCAAGATCTGTTGCAATAAATTTTTAACCAAATTCTTTCTCTTTGGTCCACAATGGGCTTATTTCACATTTATACTTTCTTTCATTTCTCAACATAATAAAAGAATTGTAACTTGTTGTTTTGTTTGGGTTGTATCTTAAATGTCCACATAGAGCCATGTATTAAAGGCCTGTTTGTCACCCATGGTGCTATTTGAAGGTAGAATCTTGAAAAGATGTATATTTTCAGCCATGTTTGCTGGTGATATAACTTGATACAGCTTTTTGCTGAGGACAGTTTGTCAGTGTATCTTACATTTAAAAACATACCTACTCTTTGATACAGTGGTTTCACTGTTGGAAATCTGTACCACAGAAAAACCAGAGTACAAGGACATAGGAGCTAGGATAATCATTGCAGCTTAATTTAGTAGAAGAATATTACATAATCAACCTAAAATATTTAGCAATAAAGAAATGTTTTTTGGAAACGCCAGCTATGACATAGTTCTGCCACGGCATATAGTGAAGACATTAAGTCTACAACGATAGAGCAGAGAATGGCAAAATCTGAATATGAAAATCTCTAGGACCATATTATACATAACATGATTCAATGGGGAGGAGGTAAGGGGTGGAGAAGAGGTGTGTGTGTGTGCGCGCTAAAAAATCTGGAGAAAGGAAAACTTGCTTGTTTAAAATGGTACACATCTGAAGTAGAGAAGAGCTGAATGTTGGGACTCTCACTGTTTATGTATTTGTACAGTGAAATGCTTTTTAATTTTTTTAGTGACTAGGTGTACTAGTCAGCTTTCCAACAAGACAAAGGAGCTGAGGAAATCAACCTACAAAGAGGAAGGAGTCATTTGGCTCCTGGTCTCCATCCACAGTTGTGTGGCTCTGCCGCCTTTGGGCTTGGCATGCCTTGTGGTAGAGCCTTCCATGAGGCCCCTGTTGGGGATCTCCCCTGGAGCCGCCCTCTCCAAACCCCACCCTCAGAAAGCCCACCAAGGTCCAGCTCCTCCCCCGGGCTGCTCAAGACCACACCTACAGGGCATTTAAGACCTGGTTGCCAGACCTGCCTCGTGATTCCTCTCTGCCTTCCCCAGAGTCACCTGGAGTTTCTTTGCTCTGCTCAGATTAAACCTGGACTTTAATTCAGCCTGATCTGATTGATTGTATCGGTGTAGAAGCCCAATATCGGGGTATGGGAACTTTTCAGGCCCCTCTTCCATATCTAATTAATCCTGAGTACTGGTTTTCACTCTGTCCATTTGATGAGTTTTTAAATTCCAATTTTTGTTTCAATTTCTGCTTTCTTGTGTCTCACTGAAGGCAAATGTTTACTTGTATGTGGTTGGTAATGTGCATTCTTCTGTGAAGTGTTTGATGATGAGTTTGCATTTTCTTATGGAATTACATCAACTCTTTGCATATTAGAAATAACTTATTAGAGAGAAATATGTCTACATCCTAGAAAAATTAACTTGCAAAAGAATATGTGTAACACATATACACATGTATGTTTTTACTCAGTTTTCTTGCAAACAACTTATTGAACCTTTATTACAAAGGTTTTCTTAATATTTATATATATAGTCAAACCTGCACATTTTCTGTTTGCGGTTTCTGACTCCCATGCCTTCAGTAGAAAGCCTCTTGCAAAACCCAACTTATCTTTTTTTTTTTTATTTAAGATTTATTTATTTATTATGTACACAGAAGAGGGTGACAGATCTCATTACAGATGGTTGTGAGCCACCACATGGGTGCTGGGAATTGAACTCAGGACCTCTGGAAGAGCAGTCAGTGCTCTTAACCTCTGAGCCATCTCTCCAGCCCCCAACTTATCTTAAATAATCACAAATACATTAATTTTTTTATAAAGACAAAAGTTGTTAAATTAACATTTAGATCATTAGTCTATCTAAATTATCATTTAGTCTATATTCTCAGATACCTGAGACAGAGGCTGGCAACACAGGCCAGGACAGACTCCAGCTCATGATCTCATCGTCTCAGCTTCCTAAGAGGGAAGCCCCCAAGCATGTGACAGTGTGACCAGTTCCTCAGATGCCCCTTAGTGCTTCTTTTCCTCTTGTATTTGAAATATTTCTATGACTATAATTCAAAGGTGTGGAAGGTATGTATATGTTTATAATCTTGAGTTACTTTTCATCTTAGACCACCACTCTTTAGTGTGTGTGTGTGTGTGTGTGTGTGTGTGTGTGTGTGTGTGTATGCGCACGCGTGTGCTCACATGCACGTGGGTAGACTAAGTGCAGGACAAGTGTCTCCTCTACTGCTCTCCACCCTATTGACTTGAGACAGGGTCTCTTACTAAGCAGAAGTTGTCAGTGAATTCTGGGACGTGCTTCTATCTCCCCACAAATGCTAAGGTTATAGGCGCCCACGGCCTGGCATTTGGTGTGTATTATGGGGTTTAGGTTCAGACCCTTATACTTACAGAGTAAGCATTTGTGCCCACTTAGCCATCTCCCTGGTCCATCATTTTGAAATTCTTAAGACACATAGTAAATATAAGCAAATGGGTCTTTAATTTCTGCAGAAAGCTGCAGAAACAGATTATCTGGGACATAGCCTTACCAGATGAGTAAGAATACCTTTCAACCTTACTCAAATCAAGAACTCAGGAATGTGTTGGGGTAGACACAGGACATTTACAATCATGGTTCTCTGGAAGAGTTATGAAGCTCAAGAAATAAGGGAAAGGGGACAAACAGGCTTTATGAAGAGCCCAGTAAAAGTCTCAAGTCAATCACTGTTCTCACTGGCAGCTACAGTGTCTGGTCATAGAGACACACCCTCATCCAAATGAGAACATTTCATAGACTACTCCCCCCCCCCCCCCCCCCCCCACACTCTTAAGTGAAGCTGGGCATTTGAGTAAGCTCGGTCTATTGTGTCAGTGTCAACATTCCAGTTGTCATAGTTCACCACAGTTTTGCATGAAATTACCATGAGAGAAACTGAGGAAATGCACGCAAGTCTCTCTGAGGACTTCCAGGACTCGAAGGAGCTAGCCACACAGACGGCAGAGGAGACACGGGATTAACGAGGACCCAATGTCTAGGACTTGTTTAAAATAATCCGAGGAATTAGTAGGCTGAAGTCAGAGAAGCATGACTGGTCACAAAGCAGTGAGTTTAGGGATTGCCTGACGGGTCCTAGTGTATTCATTTAACTGCTTTATCAACTCTTGTGAACACTTACGTCCTCCAAGTAAAAACAGAGGGGATTTTCTGACATCATGTTAGAGTAAACAGAATCAGAGAATTAACAGCAAAGGGAACTTGAATCTTCCCATCTAGCCCAACACTCTCTGTTCACATATAAAAACAAGGCCCCGAAGTGCAGTGGCTTCCCGGGAGTCAGAGGCACAGGCTGGCATTGCAGCCACTACATTTTGTACTGTTGCATAGCATTTATCCTCTGAATTGGAACTTTCCCTTCTGGAGGAAGGAGGGAGACTCATAAGAATCGATGAAATAGGAGCCAGGAACCTCACCAAAGTTACATGAGTTACAAGGCTCCTCTCCAAGGTTATATAAGCAGTAAACTGGAGAAGCGAAGCCTCCTGGGTGGACTGCCAGCTCGTAGGGTAGGAAGCTCCACAGATAAGGCATCTCTAAGAAGCCAGGGCACAGCAGCTTTTCACTGATTCCACTG